TAAAAAAATACATAAAGTGGCCAGGCGTGGTGGCTCACACCTGTAATCACTTTGGGAGGTCAAGATGGGTGGATCACTTGAGCTCAGTAGTTCGAGACCAGTCTGGGCAACCTAGTGAGACCCCATCTCTACTAAAATTACAAAAAATAAGCGAAATGTGGTGATACATGCCTGTAGTTCCACCTACTTGGGCGGCTGAGGTGGAAGGATTGCTTGAGCCTGGGAGGTGAAGGTTGCAATAAGCTGAGATTACACTACCACACTCCAGCCTGGGTGACAGAGTGAAATCCTGTCTCAAAAAAGAAAAAACAAACAAACAAACAAAAATAAAACAAAAAAAACGTGGAGTGAAAATATACAGAATTAAAAGGAGAAATACAAATTATATATTTAAAGAAAAAGCACCTGGGCATTCCTTGGCTCTCCATGCCTTGTGGACGATCTCTTCTGTGTATCTGCTGTCTCCTGGTCTTCTCTGTCAAGGCAGCCACTCACTGAATTGCAAATGTGTGTTCAGTTGTTGACTTCCCTCCGGACTGTGAGCTCCTTGAAGGCAGGCGCTATGGGTTATTCCTGTGTGCATTCCCCCAGCACAGTCAAGTAGGTACTTCTTGGTTTTTTGGGTTTTTGTTTTTTGGGGGACAGGGTCTTGCTCTGTCACCCAGGCTGAAGTGTAGTGGCATGAACATGGCTCATCGCAGCCTCAAACTCCTGAGCTCTACAGATCCTCCTGCCTCACCCTCCCAGGTAGCTGGGACCACAGGTGCATGCCACCACACCCAGATAAGTTTTTTATTTTTTGTAGAGATGGGTCTTGCTGTTTTGCCCAGGCTAGTCTTGAACTCCTGGGCTCAAGTGGTCCTCTCTCCTTGGTCTCCCAAAGTGCTAGAATTACAGGTGTGAGCCACTGTGCCTGACCGAGTAGGTGATTTTTGTCAGGGAGATAGACAAGGAACAGCTCCTTAGAGTCAGTGAGATACAGGTATGGTGTGGGCAAGCCCAGATCACCCTGGGAGGTCATAGAGGGGATTGGACTCAGCCTTGGGGAGTTGAACAGGCTTCCTGAAGGGAGTTAAGTGCCTAAGCTGATTTCTGAAGGATTAACCAGACAGGGAGAAGGAGAGTCACAAAAAGAATATCACGTGGAAAGGCCTGGGAGAGGCAACAAGACATGGATGAAGTATAGCTCTTAGCAGTCAGTGATGTGGAGAATGGGTACCTCCTGCCAGTGTCTGGACGTTGCTTTATGTGGTCAATACTGCAGAGGTTACAACTCTGGACTGGTGACTGAACTCTAACCAGTGTGGAGCGCACTATGACTTGGAAGTTGTTTATTCCAGGCCACAGCTGCTTATTAGCAATTCCACAGCTTCAGAAGTACAGCTGTCCCTCAGTATCCACGGGGCATTGGTTCCTGAAGATACAAATCCACAGGTACTCAAGTCCCTGATATAAAATGGTATAGTATTTGCATATAACCTATGCACACCCTCCCATATACTTTAAATCATCTCTAGATTATTTATAATTCCCAATACAATGTAAATGCCATGTAAGAAGTTGTTATATCGTATTGTTTAGGAAATGATGACAAAAAAAGAAATTTGTTCATGTTCAGTACAAATGCAACCATCCTTTTTATTTTTCCAAATATTTTCGATCTGTGGTTGGTTGAATCCACAAATGTGGAACCCATGGATATGGAGTGTTCACTGTATTTCCCTGTCTTAAGATCTGAGTTGTACAGTTTAGAGGTCAATTTTCATGCCAAAAAGCAGGATATAAATAAAGGAAAACATACAAGTGTTGGTAAACGCACTTGGTGGTATCTGGTCCCTGAAATCTTTGGCCTTGACTTGTCGGTTATCAAGAAGCTTGAGATGCCAGCATGGCCAACATGGTGAAACCCCGTCTCTACTAAA